CCTTGCTCTATTTTGCAAAATAGTTCTTACACCAGCATCATGCCAAACATATTGTATCATTTGAGGAATGCAGCTATTTTGAGCAGAAAGACTGGTACTTGAGAAAGTGAGTGACACTGGTGAGAGCAGACAGATGTTTACTGATTCTGTCATCATATGCAAAACTGTTGGTGCATGTTCAAAGCAGCTTTCTGAAGATGTGCCTCGTGTTATCTTAACATCAGTAAACAGCAGCCTAATGCATTTTCCTGTTTGTTGTGACTTGCTTATCTAGATCCTCTATATATTCCAGGGACACAGTTACTAAATTTGAAGCTGCAAACAGGTTTGTTCTCTTGACATGCTTGCAAGAAACGTTTAATTTTACACTGCAATTTTCAAATATTTTTATGTATTCTGGCTAGGTAAAACAGTAAGAAATTAGTGTTACTCAGTGCTGAATTAATGACTTGACTAGCTCGCTAGCACAAGCTCTTATTTTCCTCTTTATCAGCTCTTGGGCCAGACATTTTGGAAGAATTTAATCAAAATCCTCATCAAAAGCCAAATGAATGGATTTTAAAGAAAGTTTAATTACAGTGGTCAAACCACCCAGCACGATTTGCTTGATTTGATTAATGTAATGAGGAGCTCATTTAATGAGAAATGCATTAATTCATTCAAACAAGTGGTTTTATCAGTGGTATTAAGCATCAACCCAGATTATGTACAGCAGAAATTATTATAGCAAAAATTGACCGAGGTCAAAGCAGTAGTCATGCCATAATTACAAGCTCTCAGCTGTAATCTACCAGTTGAACTTGGGTAGTACTTGTCCTGCACAAAAAAGCAGGGTCCCTATTTTAAAAAGCCCCCAAACCACAGGGGTTTGCTCCAGTTCCTCAGCTGGGGTCTCCATACCTTTTGTTCAGATGTTCAGAAGATTTGGGAACTGGGACTGAATTCCCCAAGTTTCAGATGGCTACACATGCAGACACTAGTAGCAAATGACAAAGGGAGAGCTCAAAGGAGCCCTTATACCACCCCAAACCCTTAAGGGAAATGGATGTTCTTAATTTGCTCTCTGTTTTACCTCTCTCCTGTCCCTGCGATTTTTGAAACCTGGAACAGAGTGACTTTGGGGGAAAATTAGTATTTTACTTCTGGTGAAGGAAACCTCCTTGGAAAAGAAGAAAAATTGGCTCAAGTAGGAAGTATTTGATAAAAAGAAGAAAGAGTCTCCTTTACATCTTGTTCTCTTCAACTACATTCTTAGATACATTTCACACTCTATATTTCAACTCCCCTGTTTCAGGCCCCCTGCCTGTGAGCTTCAAACAGCACCCATCACCTCCATGCTTCTCTGGTGACCCCTGCTATACCTGCCAGCAGCTGCCAATGCTCTTCTCTCTCCTATGCTGCCCTGACCCCCATTACCTCTTCAACTTCTGCCATGCTGCCTTGCCTTTATTCAGTTCATGACTTGTTATTCCTGCAGCGTCTGCAGTACCCCTGTATGAGCTGCCTTTCCTGCTACTTTATACTGGGTCTGTATAGCACTGAGACTTCTTTGATTTTCAAGTGTTCTACTTCTAAGCCTGTTTGTACCAGAGCACTTTCTAAGCACTGCTGCACAGTGGACTTAAGCAGTCTTTTCTCAGCTACCACCAGCAACTGGTAAAGGAGACCATATTTAAAACTGTTCCCCAAGTAGACAGAGGGCTGGTCAAAGAGCTGAGAAGTGGAGCACAAGCCCAGTTGCAGACAGGATGCTCTGTGGGTAGATGCATACTGACAAGTGAAGACTGGTATCATCAGGAACATGACAGTAAGACACTACTATTAGGGTGCCTAATGAATGTAAGTACCAAGGTTCATCTGCAGGTTTGGAAGTTTGGATCAAGATCTTCAAGAAATAAGCTGAAGTAGAGAACTAGAGATGTCAAAAAATAGACCTAAGGATTTATTTGCCACATTAATAGAAAATGAGCAATAAAACCATTCATGCTGAGCTAAAAATATAATCCTTAGGATCATTTCTGCTAGTGGCCTTTAAACCACAAGGAAATGAGTAAAAATTGGAATTGGAGTCCCTTGATTTTAGAGAAGTCCTGGGATCTGCCTATATCTGACTGCTGCACACCAACAGGAACCTGTGATATTGGCATATAAACGGTTGCACAGAGGAAAGCATGAACAGTGACGACAGCAAGGCTGTTTGCAAGGTAAAGTCAACTCCACCTTGGAACAAGCAACCCAAATAGCATATACAGACTCTCTGCAGAAGCTGCCCCTTGATGTCACATTTAGTATCCTTGAGTGGAATCTACATGGGAAATCATAATACATAAATTGTTAGAAGATCTTATCTTAAAATACTTTTCCCCACTATCTCCCAGCCCAGCTTTCAAGCAAGCAACCAACCTTGCTAAACTTATCATCTGAAGAAAATTCCCAAAGACCAATATATCTGACTATATCAGTGATAAATGCAAAAATCGCAACTTATCTCCACAGACCTCAAAAGAACCATGACAAACAATGGATCCTCATAATATTCATCCCTGAATGCAACCTACTTCTTATGTATCATGTGCCCTCTGTACCATAGTGAACTCACACTGACAATCCCTTCATGAAAGAAAACAATGGTTAATAACAAAAACTTGTCTTCTAAAACAGTCATTCTCCTTCTGATCATTCAGCCTTCATCCTCAGGGGTATCCTACAAAAGAAACTGAAAAGACTAAGGTAAGATTAAAGTTAATAATTTCATAGGACACCAAATATTTTTGATTCTAACGACAATGCTAATTTTATGGCACATTACAATTTACCTCACATATAGCTTGCTAATCTCAGTTTCTCAGGAGATAATTACCTGTGCATTTCTTCCATCCTGTGTTCAGTAGAGCTGAAGACCTTATTACCTCTCCTCTTACTAACTTCCTCTGTTCCTTTCATCTCAAAATACCTGACTGATTAATATAATGAAACTGAACTCAGAAAAATTGCTTCTGATCTTTGCTTATCTTGCAGTTTGCTAGCTATGCCCCTGCTTCTGTTTTTTGCTCCTCGATCTTGTCTGACTTTTTCCTATTAGGTGTACTCTTAATAGATACTGCCTTTCTCCACACTTATTCCTTACGAGTGTTATGACTATTCCCTATTTACCAAAAAACCTGCCCAACCATTCTCCACTTTGAAAATATCAGGCATGGTTCCAGATATGGTTCCAGTTCTGACTCACAGATACCTTTTTGAATAGTTATATGGATTTCTGTCTGGCATTATCTGAGCTCCCAATTGCTTGAAAGAAATATTTGGGCTTAGGCAAAGAATAGGAACACAATTAACTGGCCAAACATCAGTCACTATTTCTAAAAGGAAAGGAAACATTGTTAACTCAGATCTTTCTAAAATGAAAGTGAAATATGACATGGACAAGATTCGGGAATATGTTGTTCAATGTGGAACAGTTATGTATTTCCCAATCCAGTCAGAGATGAAAATTTTTATTGTCACTTCTGTTTGATACTTCCCAACTAGTGAACTGGCCTTTGGCAATGCTCATTGCAATGATGTCGTATATTATTTGCTTCTCCCCTTTATCCATGGAGCTCAAAAACCACTTTACTTTTCTGCATTCAAATTCAGTAACTTTAAGCTGTAACACCTTGGGAAAGGTTAACCAGTATGTTAGGACTGAACTCAATATAATTTTGCCTATAGACTTTCAGTGTGCATGAATTAAAATATATGGACCTATAGTTTAATACATTTTAGGAAGTATTAAATAAGACAGTACACAAAACTCTGAGGTAACATGAAGATCTACCATCTTCTGCCAAATGCCATACACTTCCTTGGACTTGCAGAAGTAGCAGGTATTATTCTGCTTGCACTACATGCAGTCCTTGATGCACACCTGGGAGTCATTCTTTGCAAGCACGTACCTGGATTTCACATCCAGGCTAGAATATCTACACCCTTTTTCTTTCACTGAAAGGCATTTAGAGAAAATTCAAAACAGGATTAAGGAGAGGATTTTAAAACTTGTATTCCTCATTTTGTGAAGCTAGGGGTTATCTGTGACCCCAGTGACCAGAGAGACCTACCACCTCAGTATTACCATGTAAAAAGTAACTGTTTACCCCATATGTTCCTGTCACCATGGAAAAACTCAGGAAATATATGGAAAAGATTTTTTGCAGGTTCAGAGGAAAAGCAGGCCCTCTCATCTCTTTCCCCTACTGAGATACAAACAAGGATCTTGCTCTGCTAAGCAGTAGGGAGATAATCTTCAGCATTGATATATGGGAACTGCTGATACAATGTAAATATTTGGTAAAAACAAAATATTTGCCAAGAACCTAAAAGACCATGTGCTTAAAGTAGCTCTCCACGCTGCCTTTCCTCAGCAAGGTGTACAAGGAAACGTGTACTCAGCTATCAGTTCCACTGCTGTCTCCTGAGAGATTGAACCTACAGTGCATCGTACCTACATCCCAATGAGCTATACTTAATTCCCTTCTCCTCTTCTGGCTGTGCCACTGCAAGTTTCTTGTAGAAACAGAAGTGCTTCTGGAGCAGTCAAACAGCTCCTGCTACTCATGAGCCAGTGTCTGTGGTACCTGCTGCAGGGCTGGTACCACCATCAGCTTCTTCAATGTCACAAGGCACATGCTTCTGACTTGGCCGTTGGGTTTCGATGGCCAAGAGCCCACCACAACATCTCTCTACACCACTGCAGATTTGCAGATCTCGGAGCCAATCATTGGAAGAAACACACAAATTCAGCTCAGTCAACCTCATTTCCCATCTGCGATCAGGTAACACGAGAGCACTGCTGAGGATGGTGTGCGGGAAAGGATGAAATGTGAAAATAATGTGAGATGAGGATGCCCAAGATGTTTGGTAATGGAAACCAGTTTCCACCCTCCCAGGTGGCTGCCAGGTCCCTCCTCAACAGCCCCACGGGAGGGAGACGCGGCAGGAGTGCGAGGCACAATGGCCCTTACCTTCTCGTTCTTCCTCTCCTCAGCTTTGCTGGCAGGTCCAGGGGTGACGGGGGCACACAGGGGCCCACTGCCCACCTCCCCATTGAGGTGGGCCGCGCTGACATTGGGCGGGGTGATGGCGGCGGCAGCGGAGGTGAGGGGGATGAGGGGCCGGGCCCCTGGTGCGGGCGGCTGGTGGCCGTGCTGGGGGGACACGGCGGGGTGAGGCCGAATGGCGGCTGCGGGCAGGCGGGAGGGCGAGCTGGGCGTCCGCAGGGGTGACACCGTGGCGGTGGGTCGGTCCGGGGCTGGCACCGTGGGGTGGGCTGCAGAAGGAGGACAGAGCACGGTTAAACCCGCCTTGCACTGGCAGATCTGGCCCTTCAGTGGCCATCACTGCCACAAGGTGCCAGGGCCTGACAGAGATAAGCTCTTAGCCTTAACCCAGGATATCTCAGCCTGGAAGTGTTTGCAGCTAATTCCCCTCTAGGCTGCAAAAGGCATGTCTGAAGTCACCAAAATTGGCTTGTCCTCCCCAGTGATGTGACTATCCCTGTTTATACTATCTTTTAAAAATACATTATCTAGTTCCAGCTGAGTTGTCTTCCAAACCTCCTCCTAACCTAATAGGTTTTAGAGCAATGCAACATGGGACCTAAAAGGTAGCCCAGATGATCCAGGCTGACGTAGCAGACAGCAATTACAAAGGAAAGTCTCTTGTTTCAGCCCTAAAAAAATGATCAACAGCACATCACTGTGCTGCACAGGATAAATTAAGCAGAAATCCATTGGAGGATTTCTGAGCTCAGCCTCCTCTCTGCCAGCAAAGTCCCTAAGGGACTATGCAGTGCCTTTTAGTCTGGCTGCCCCTGCTAAGCAAACTCTGCCTGCAAGCAGTGGGAACCAGAAATTAGTGCTTGTCTGTTTAACGGTGACTGTGACACACTGCCGAGGTCAACCCTTCAGGGATTCCGGAGCCTGTTGCATGCCTCATGTTGCAAAATATGTGACAAAGCTCCAGGTCCATTTCCACAACTATATTGTCTATGACTTCCAGGTTGGTTGATTGCATAGACGTAACCTAAGTACCACTCCACTTTAAGTATTTACAGCCTAGAAGTCAAGTTCACACCTAGACATTCCCTCACTTAAATGATTCAGTAATAGGACTGGCTGGAAAATGCCCATTTCATAAATGATTTCAAGGTTTCATAATCTTGTTTAGTTCTCTCTCAGTACAAAATTTGAACCTTTGAACATTCTTCTGTGAACAACCTACTCACTCACACCACAATAACCTCTATTCTGGTCAAGTTGTTCACCTGGGATGTGAAAACATAGGATCAGGTCACTGCACTGTTCTCTTCTGTGGAGAACACCTCTGGGAAGTTGTCAATTCCCTTTGCAACAGCACAGCTTTATGGTTGGTAGTTCTGTAGTTGAACTACATCCATTCCTGACAAAAACCGTTGAGTTCAGCAAATCAGCTTTTCTTTGACCAAGATGTATTGTACTGGAAAATTTCTGACCCACTTTGATCTGTGGTTTTCTTACAAGTTCATCTGAAGGATGCATTTTTATGCAGCTGGAATTCACTCAATCTATAACTAAACAACAATGCTAGAACAACCACTATTTTCTGTTTGTGGTAAAGAGTGGCACCCTTACCAGGGATTGAAATGAGACAATGCCATTAATCATACTCACTACACCAGCTGAGCATTCCCGGCAGGAGGGAATTTTCATCCCCCAGTCTTATGTCCTATTATCTGAAGCAATACTGAACATGATGGGCCAGTGACCATCAGATTAGTACCTCTCAAGTTTGTATTATTTTCCCTCACAGCAGCTTCTTGATTTTATAACATCTCTTTTTACTAATGTTGCTCATAGCAAATCAAACTATCATTAACCAGTCTGTAACTTGATGTGATTTTATCATGTAGCATCAGGAAGGCCCTAAAAGTTGTTATTACAGACACCTTCAAGACTACTATCACTATTAGTTACCATCCCCCCCTCCTTGAATTACCAAGAACATACACTGAAAGTGCAATTCAATTCCAGAGAGCCAGACAGGGCACCACTAGTTATTTTGAAGCAATTCACTCCTGATTTTCCCATTTGGAACCTGTGTGATGAGCAACCACTGCTATCAGAAATCTGATTTTCCGGGACAGTTAAGCTTGTAGGGTCAAAGTTTTGAATTACTGTTTGTAGGGAGCAATGGCTTTCCTAAATTTAGAGCAAAAGCACACTAATGCAATATCACTGCATGTACCTGGGTGCAGAACCCTGATTTGGTAATATTAGGTACAATACTTTCATGTAGGACTTGGTGTTTCCACACACAAAAAGGAAACAGAAAATATGAGAAACAGTAAAAGAAATGGCCTAAGAAAAATCAACTCTGAGCAGAGCTCTCATGTTTTATTCTGTAATTTTATCTGCTTACTGTTACAATGTATGCCTTTGCTCTGGATCTCTGTATCTGGACTGTGCTGCATCAAACATGCTATTAATTAGCAATGCTCACTGAAGGCTATTTTTGTTCTACACCACTCATATTTCATTTGGGGTGTATTCCTATATTAGTGGCCTTGTGCAAAATTGATTTGTTACTCATGTATATTGCAAGCCAACAGAAACGTGATTTGAATACTGTGCCAGCTTGCCTCTCTTGGAAAGCTTTTGCAAAAGTCAGTGCACTGACCTGTCCTGCAGGACTAAAGGGACCTTTTGAGGGGCTCTGATCCACAGGATACTGGTAAGGAAATCCATTACAGAGAAAATTACTGATAATCATGAAAATTTCCTTTTTTTATCCTGGAAAAGGTTTATTTAATTAAAATAAGAATCTCATGAACCTTCTGGAAGGGTTGGAGAACTCCCTGTTACGAGGTTTTGAAACAGTTCTGTGATCCCTGGATCACTTTGTCTGCCAACTCCTTGGCACTTGAGAGGTGTCGTAGTGACCTGGAGGAGCAATCTTAAATCAGGGAAGCTGCTGATGTGTAGCACAGCAGCACTGCGGAAGAAAGCTATGGGCATGCCAGGTCTCTGGGGCAAAACAATCCGTCACCTCAGTTTCAGGGGAGTCAGGAGGGCTCAGGAGGCACCAGGAGCACCTGAACAGTTCCTGAGAGCCTCACCTAAAAGGGGACATTTTTGGCTCGGCACTGTGGGAGCAGAAGGGCTTTTCAAAGGGTGTGACTTGAGGGGTAAGCAGCACTTTCCGAACTAAACAAAAAGAGGATAAATTGATTATCCCCCAGTGTGACATGGATACCATGTAAAGCACTGTTTGCTGAGCAGAGGAGTCCGCGCTGTTCGAGATTCAGATTCACATGTATTTTATTATGTTTTCTTCCCTTTGGTCTGGACTGTGTAGGAGGTGAGATTAGATGGTCATAATGGTGCCTTCTGGCTTCAAAAGGTATGAATCCATGACTTACTTCACAGGGTATTTCTCATTTGTGCTTGCTCTGTTTTATATCTAAGACCTCAGTTTTGAGCAGTCACAGTTCTTACTGATCTGCCTTTGCAAACACAATGGCTCACATCCCTATATAATATCAGAAACAAAATGTTTTAAATTTTGCTAAAAAGTTCCACCCCAGGATTTACTTTTACTTTATTCAACATCAGAGGCTGTTTAACATCAGGGAAAGGGGAATAAATTGTACTCTAGAAAATTGTGCTGTACATCAGAAAGGGAACCTAGAAAGAACAGAGGCCCCCTGGTGCAAGAAGCTCTTATTTTCACTTCAAAAGGTGGCAGCATTTTTCAGATCTTTTTCTTTATCACTAGCACTGGGTCCCATTCTGCCTAATAAATACCTTTCATCCCTGAAGCCCAATGAAATACTTCTTAATTTTAAGGTGTGTATTACTTGCCCTGCAATACAGGCAGTATTTTTCTGTCAGTAAACCAACTGGACTCAGAACTGTTAATCTCCCCAGGATGCAGGGTGCTTGCTTTCCCTCAGATAAATTGTATAAATATTTGTAAACACTATAATCTATTTCAGCTGTAGCAACAGAACAATCTGATAAACACAACGTGGTTCCCAGAGATCAATAGAAACCCATAAATATTACAAGCAAAGAAAACATACTCTATCCCACATTGACTGAGCTGTGACTAAAACGAGAAAGAAAGCTGTGGGGACAGGCAAGTTCTAGAGGCTTGCCTGTTCAAGAGGTAAAACATCAATCCTCCCTACACAGGGTGAGAGGCGCTGATGGGTGTGCACTTACCTATCTGCATGGTGTTGCGGGGCTGGCTGGCTGGCTGCTGAGCTGAGTACCGCAGGCAGTTATTCAGCTGTGGAGAGGCTGCCTGCAGCTGGGGATGTGTCTGGGGAGTGGTGATAGGAACAACTGGTCTGACAGTTGTGGTGACATTGGTGTGACTGGCCCCGATGGGGTGGATGGCTCCTGGAGCTACTTTTGTTGTCGGAACTCCTCCAGCTCCGCTGTTCCTGGGCTGCCCAGCTCCCACTGGCACCCTGTACGGAACCAAGGCACAGCGTAAGCATGTTGCAGAGACCCCAATACCCAACCACAGTGCTGATAAGCACCCCCAGTTACTTAGGAGTTTTAACATGATACTCTATCAGTTGTTAAAATAAACTGAGATACAGATATACATTTATCTTTATAGAGCCCAGTCTTAAGCATGCTGGAGGACATTTTCACCCCTTTATCCTACAGGAAGAAGTGCAGGGTAAAAATGGAAAAGATAATTTATCTCATCAATTTTTTATTATGCTACATTTCTGTCTGAATAGCTTCTAGTAAAATCACAAATCTTAATTCAGAGGAAATAAGTATCTCCCAAATGTCATTTTGTGTGCCAGAGGCTATTTCACACAGAGTGATAATTAAAACATACTCAGAGATCTTTTCTTGGGACCAAACCTGCATACAGCCCTACAGGGAGAAACAAGGATGGATAATGCCAAATCTGTGTGTGGCTATTGAAGGGGACTGAGAAGCAGCAGACTTGACAGGGCTTGGCTTGGCTGAACATTTACCCTACTGATGTAACCAGCCCTAGCTTAGACTTGCTAAGGGAATGCAAAAGGGAAGGGAATGCAGCTGACCTGAATGAAAAAGAAATCCAAACAGTAATCGACCCCTCTTTCATTTCTCGCTTAAACTGTATACATAATCTGTATTTCATCTGAGTGGCCAGGTAGACCTCAGAGGAAAGGGACGAGGCTCTTTCTCCCATATGATGAGTTCAGACTACAGCATGTCTTGATCCTCTTACCACTGAGCTAGACACTCTCTGACCAAGACAGGAGGACACTGCAGAGAACAGACGGACACCAATGGACAAACTCAGCCGCTGCTCAGTAGCTCGTTCTCTGAGTTTCTTACTCAGGGTCCTGAATAATTTCAATGCCCACCAATAAATGCCATGAAACAGAGGGATCATTTTATGCTGTTCTTCTCTCTGGGGCTGCTCCTTGTGTGAAGGTCCTCCTCCAGGAAAGGACAGCACAGGGATATGAGGCAGAACAAAGCAAGATGAAGGAAATGGAAATGCGGCAGTGCAAGAGACTAGCAAGGGAGGAGAGAATAACAGAAAAAGTACAAGAGCCAACTACAGGAGGTGGACTGGGAGAACTTCTGGGTCCCCAAGATTGTTGTGTGGAAAACAGAGAGGAGAAGATCAGAAGGAAGGAGTATGCTGAACAATCTGGTCTGATTCAGAGGACATGAATGACAGAATAAGTAACCCTAAGAAAAGAGTAGAAAAGGGAAGAGACAAAAGAGTGAAATTCTGATAGAAAAAGACCAACACACAGGTTGGAAGATATGGTCCAAAAGTGCAAAATATAGCTATCCCTTCTGCCCAATCCTCCCTCCCCCAAAACCACAAGAGGAAAGACAACACTGTGCTGTCAGTGACTTGACTTATCTCATGGTGCAAGGTTTACCTGGAACACATTTTGCTAAATGAATCTGAATTTTTTTTCTTCAATTTTTTTTATAAACCTATAGGTTGGGAAAAACTGGGAATCTCACCAGATGGAAATTTTTACTGTCTGTCATCTGCTATGAAGAGCTGGCAAGGTGGCAGGAAGGTTCAGCTGAGCTGACTTGGCCATCTGCACTAGACTGAGTTTGCCAGAAAAGCACACCTAACAGTCCACTGAGAGCTGTGGTCAGGCAAACATGCATGCTGACAGGTACAGAAACTATCTGTGACTCCCACAGAGATGGATAGATGTTGGATGTGGCAAATTTCCTCTGCTGCCCTTTACCTGTCTGTCCATCTAAAGAGTCTTGTTCTTTTTCCACCACAGTCTGTTCATGCATGTTTTGGCAGCTTATAAATCTAGTTCAGTGTTATTAAATTCATGGACAACTTCTTTTCCTTGGGTTTTGTAAGGAGTGGCAGAAAAACATGTATGAATCTGATCTTTTTTGCTGTCAAAGGACAGCAAAATATGCTGAAAGTGCAGCAAATAGGAGATTTTGTTGCTATCAGATTTTTCATGCTCTTCTCCCTAAGAGTGATTTGCACGGGAACTTAATTAGCTCACAGGATCATAAATATAATCATAAAGCTGCTTTTGGGTTTTGTGGAAAGCACTTTTGCCCTTTAGCACTTCTCTGTCTTGTTCTAGCTGTGACATGCTGCATTTAATAAAGTCTTGCTGATTCAGATCACCAACCCTTCAGCACAAACTTCCTTACTAATTAAAAACTGAAGAGGTAAGGAGTAAAGGCAGCCAAGGAGCTCTATAAAATAAGGTAAATACATTTAGGTTGATGAACTGTGAAGAACCAGTGAATTAATATTTGGTTTTTTTTTTACCGAAATGCAATATTAGGACTGTCAGCAGGCTTAGCTATCTTCTAATCTGCTCTAAACTTTTGGTATTGCTCAGCCCACAAATTACAGACTTGACATAAACTGTAGATGGAACAAAACTGGATCAATTTTTCAAAATCAACACTGTCTGAATTGTGAAGTGCTTTTCCCTGGAGAGGAGTGAAAGATGGTGGAGGCAGTGTACATGTGGGAGGAGGGACTGAGCATATGAAAAGCAGTGAGCTGAGTTTGCAAATCCACAGTTTGTCTAAAGGAGACATGGGCATACATGTGGCACCATTCACCTGCAAGGAGTATGTGGGGCAATCAGTCTGGGACACAGCGATGAACTTTCTTCTCATCTTTCAGACTATTTCAGAGTGGGCTCTAGATCAGAAACAACCTTTGACTTGGTGTTGTCCAATATACCAAACTCTGAAAAATGGCATTGCTCCCCAAAACATGCTATTCTTTCCTTTTCTCATCTTCTGCAATGGAGATGGGTAGCTAAAATCAGACAATTTACTGAACTCTCCTACCACTTCTGAATTTTAACAGTTCAAACATTAGTCCAGATCCAAACCATTCCAGATCTTTGCTTTAAGAAAAACAAAATCTACAAGAGAAGCTACTGAAAAGCAAGATACAAGCATTTCTTATTTTGTTACATGTCCAGTAGTTTTATAACAACAACAAAGTGTTTAGCCAACAGATTCTTTACAAAAGTAAAACCTGGGCTTATCGGAGATTATAAATGCCATCAATCCAGTACAACTACTGCAGTCTCCTGAGGACATGGATAACTCCAATGCTACAACCAGCAAGTTTCATTACTGAAGTCTGCAACGCCACCAGAAAATTTCTGGAAGGGAAATGTGATTTCAGAGCAGAGCTACGTTCTTTTCAGTGTCCTCCAGATGCAGAGAACTCAGCCCCAGTTCAGGCCAGTGGTCCTCACCTTGAGACAGGTGTCACATAGTTGCCTGGGAAGACACCGGACATCCCACTCCTCAGAGATGTCCCCTTGAACCAGCCGTCCTGGCACTTCTCAATGACCCGGTACATCTCACCTTTGCGGAGCTCCAGCTCATCGTTCTTCTGGGGCTTGTAGGCATACAGGGCTAGGTAGCTGTGGGGAGAGGTCACACAGGAAGAGAGCACACAGATGGCATCAACCACCACTTGTCCCGCTCCAACTCCAGCCCCACAGAGTAGAAAGTGAGCAGAAGCAATGTTAAGAAATTGGGATTGAAAAGGGACATCATTACAGCATATCAAACAAGGAAGGGCAGAGACTGGATTCCAAGACAATAAGGGAATAACTAATCAGAGTAAAGTAGGCTGTAATTTAGAAATTGATGAGACATACTTCTCACTCAGGGCACAACCAAAGCGAAACACTGCCACACAAAGCAGCACTGAAGTTAAGGACTTAGCAGCAGTTGCAAAAAGACAAGACAATTACAGAGACAGCCAGAGCAACAAGGACTAGAGTAAGAGGGCTTTGCAAAGCCTAACATTTGTATAAAGCATATATTCATATGCTTTAGGGTGGGAGCCTATTGCGGAGTTTCAGAAGAAACTTTTCTTATGGGTAGGCTACTTCAAAAGCACTTACGACAGCTTTACTTGCATCTTTCTCAACACTATTTATGCTGGTCAAGTTTAGCAACAACACACCAAACTGTTCTGATCTGGTAGTTCTTGTACCATATGGGTAAAACAAAAGTGACAGAGGGACAAATTCTGTTAAGGGGCTTTTCACTTCAGTAGGTGAAGTGGTAGAATTTGGCTTTAGATGTTTTGCATGTAAATATTCTAATAAATCTTTAATAATGATCCAATATGTAGAACTTTTTATTTATTTAATTATAGCTTTTATTTATTCCCTTTGTTTAGAATCTTTCTATTTATCTCTCCTTTGTTCTTCTGTTACTACTTCAGGGATGTGTCTAGCATTGTAAAATGACTACAGCTTAAAGTCCCTAAAGATATTCTCTCTGTTTAAAGAAATTCTTGTTGAAAATTAAGAATGATTGCTTGCACTTTGGGAAATAATGGAGAGTTGGGATAGAACAGCAAGAGTGCACACACAGAACAACATTTTCTTTGTAAATACTGTTTGGTTTTTTTTTTTTTTTTTGTTATGTAGCTTTTCTACAGATGCAGAAAGGGATTTCTGGTAATTCTTGATCAAGGTTATGCCTTCTTGAGTTTTTCTTTATTTATTTGTTCTTTACAGACAGTGAAGAGAGGTTAAGACAAATGGGAAAACACTTACAGAATGTGCATTTACACTACAAAGTACAGCAGAATACTCTTAGGCTCAGGGGTGGGTGAGAAGAGGCTCACTGCCCACCTTATAGCAGTGAACCAGAGAAATAATGAAAACTATAACCATCGTGATTGCAGATTTTCAACCAATAAAAATGATACATGACCTTTTACTTCTGCTCTCCGGGAAATATAATTCAGGAATAAATCCTGTTAGTTTTTTTGATTCTACTCCTTTACTGTATCAGTAGATTTTTTTATTTTTATTCTGAAGACAGTAAATAAACAGCAGTAATGAGCAGAATATGAAATATTGGTAACAGCTCCTAGGGGAATGCTTAGGCTGATGTGCCTGGCTCTGTTTACCATGCGTGTGGGGTACAAAGACCTAATCAGAAACTGTATTTCATTAGTCAACAGATGGGAGGAAACACCCTGCACATCCTTTGTTTAGCCTATGTAATCAGGTGGTCTTGAGCAGGTCTGTAGCTGTTTACACGATGGAAAACATGAGGCTACATATGAACTGAAGAACACCAGAATGTGTCACCCTGACAAGAAATAAGGTTGCATGCTTCGGTGCTGATCTTTCAGCACTGCACTCTGCAAGGACATAACAGAGAGTGCCAGACTGCAGTCACTCGAGGGAGCAGAAAGTGTGGCTTTGACTACCACTTTTGAAGTTGCTGCTTACACAGGGCTCAGATTCAGAAGCTATGGGCAAGGCAGGGGGTCAAGGACAGAGCATTTTAGATAGACTCACTTAGCCTTTTTCCCCAAGGGGCTACATGTAATAATGTAATTTACAGGTGGAGATGCTGGAAGAAGGTGCAAGGAAAATTACCCTAATTGGATCACAGGCTGTTGTGCCTTGCAGCTATATCTAGCTCTCCTCCTAGCTTCTTTCTGTTCTCTCCTACTAGCTTCACCCTGCAAATTCCCCCAAATCAGCCACCACTAAATCTGAATATCCAATATCACAATAAGCCTAAACATTCTCTGGATAGAACAGAGACTAAAAGAAGGTTTACAACAGCCCAGCATGGACACCATACCAAAACAGACCAATCTCTGTATGGCTAAAGTGATGAAAGCTTGTATGTGATAAGCAAATATGGTGACCCTGGGACAATGGAAGTGGTCAGGGCTTTCTTTGTGGACCAGCGATCCCACCACCTACGTGGGGCAGTGAGGATGTCTGTCCCTGGGGGTGTCCTCTATTAGTTGCAAAGAGGCAAGGGGTTCTCCAAACCCAGTGACAGGCCCCGCCTGGGTCCATTGCCCCACCCTATGGGGACAGGCATATGCTCCATGTGTTGGCAGAGAGCGGGCTGTGGAAGAGCTGGCACGATGCCTGCTCTTATCCATGGCTGAAAACAATTTGAGTTCAGGCAGCTTCCCTCACCAGCAAGTGTTTCTGGGTTTTTCCTCTGGCAGGAAATCAGGTCTAGCAGTCCCATTTGCTGAGGCTGACTTTGACTTAAGCCAAAGTCTTTGGACTCGAACACATTTCACTATTCTCTAGATTTTAGGTGTAAAACTTCACCACCTAACTCCCTACAACCTAGAAGAAAGTGTTAAAACAATGAAATCTTCCAAAATGCAATATCAAGTTATTCTGAGATATATGAAACAGTGAGGCTAAGGGTTAGGGAGTGGGACCTAGAAGAAACTAAAATGTTTATTAGAAGTTCCCTAAAAAAAGGTTTAAGTGAGAAGGTAGTTTATGTTCTTGGACTTGGGGATTTGCCTGTGACTCTACTTATAATGCAGAAGTCCCGGGGCTCTGTCTAGGTTGCACCTCCCCACTACTGCTACAGCTTTCAAATAACACATCCTCTTTGACTGGAACTTGGCTCGCAAATGCAAAATGACAGACTGGATTACAAGGCTGCTTCACAAGGGAGATGACAGAAGCACGGGAGAGAGAAAGGGAGGGTTGCTGAGGCATGGAGTCAGGGGCATTGCCAGAGAGCTGCAAAATGTCCTGATTCAGCAACTAAATACTGGAAATATTGCCAGTTACTGCTTCCTACTCAGGGCAAAGTTTGAAATAAATTTGTGCCCCACTATGTGCCATGCAAGCTGCACAGGGTGACTACAGGATGATGACGAGACCTCTCTGTGGGGCATTCAGTGATGTTTGGTACCTCTCAGGTATAAAGATCTCAACTTAGTAGCCAAGAAGAAATGTGTTTGGTTCTGTTCCAACAATAGGGGGTATTGTTCTTAAAGAATATTTCCTATGTTATTTTTTAGGATTTTATTTGTGAATTCAGACCTCGTTTTAGCCATATCATAAAGCCCCAAAATGTGGGTGTGCATATGTGTATGTGTCTCTATAGTTGTCTTGCTTTCACAAGGTGTATGTGTTGAGAGGAAAGGGTTCAGTAGTTTAACTAGACAGGTATCAGATAAACCAACCAGACTAGTAGAGACTTAATGAAGTCTACTCTTTTTGTTCTGTATCTAATAAATGTTCTGTTATTCTACACACTGTTCAATAAGCCCATATTCCCAAGATATGAAGTTCATTCATTGCCTTTGTTCATTCACTGTTTATGGCACTGAAAAAATGCAATTGGGTAATTTTTTCTGGTTAACGATGAATGTATTGGTGTTTGATTGCATGGGACCACACCTTTATAAGAGGCTTTAAATGAAGGAAGATTTTCTTTAGCTGCGAGGTGTTCAGTTTGCTTCACTGTGGTTCGTACAGCTATAATAATTAAAGTCTAAAAGAGCTCACAGACAAAGGGGGTAGTCTTGCCTTTTTCTACTAATTTTTCAATTTCAGAAGAGGCTGCCTCATGTATGAAATTGCAGTCTCTCTCTTCTCAGAATGCTCCTGAACTGAGATTTGGGCTTTCAGATTTTAAACACACACACACACACACACGCACGTGCACACATGCACACACAATTGGAAACAAAAAGAACACAGTGACTGAGATGAGCTGCTTACATATTGAGGGGGAGCTGGACCTTCGGTGGTGTTCCCTGATCTCCAATTATTGCACTTGTCCTGGGACCAGCCACTGTGGCTGTTCCAATCAAAGAGGAATCCTGAAAATACACAAAGAACACAAGAGGATTTAAGATGAAGCCCATTGTTTCCTAAATTGCTATGGGGTGAAGGCACAAAGGAAAAAACCCATATATTTTATTAAATTCCCAGATTTTCTAACTTCATGATACTGCATTAAAAAAGACATCTTTTAGCCTTACATATTCCAAAAATATATTTCTGACACAAAGGATATCAGGTTATTAGCAGAATTTCTACCTGTCAGAGAAATTTTAGCTGTATTTCATGTGCAGATCTTAAACGTTTTAGAACATTAAACTACTTGACTATTTTGTAAAATCAGCTCAAAATATGTATCTCTGCAATAGTACCTTCTCTGATAAAGGTAACCTTTTCCCTTCAAAAACTTGTTTTTTAAATCAGTACTTTTTTGGCTAATGGTTATGGATCTATGGAGAAGAAGATACTACTCAATTTCCAAAATTCAGTCTCGTTTCTATATATTGTTTTTATCATCATGAATATTATTCTCATTAAAAAAAAGGTGACTATACCACCCACAACGTAACTCTGAATGAAGAAAGTAGTAAACTGCACTTTTACCCCAGAAAATAAATCTCCACTCTCATACAGACAACTGGGCAGATCTTCTCCTGCTATTAATGTGAAAGGCAATTCTAAATGTAATCATTCATTTCTCAAAGCTTAATGCTCAGCCAAAGTATGTAGGGTAAACCCTTTTGAGATGTCTCACCAAAGTCCTCATTCATCTATGTCAAAAATGAATCTTGACTGGAAACTTCTCCTGAAGTAATGCCAAGGCCTGTAGCAACAAATCTTCACTGCAGACAGGGCAGAGCTGGGCTGATGGGACTTGGTTTACTAGAGCAAAAAGCTTTTTTGGTAAATCTAACCAAATACTGTATGCACATCCATATGCAGAATGGCTCTACAAAGTAGGAACCAAAGTTTACACACAAGTTGCAGGTTCAGGCAGAGCGTGGTACACACAGCAAAGATTCTGAGCAGTTCATAGGCCTCCAGTGCAGCTTTTCTGTTTCCAAATTCTATCTAACAAACAGTAATTAATTGATTTTAGGAACACAAACATAGAGGCATTTTTTGCTTTTACAAATGACACTGAATTAAACCAAGACATTGAGTTAAACCAAGACACACATTTCTCCTTAATTATTGGATTTCAATGTTACCTCATTCTAAAGAAGCCCACATAATTATTACAGTATTCTGTCTTGACAGTGCATTGCTAAGTTTTATTGCTTTGCTGTGTATGAACACAGTATCATTAGGAAATTGTGCAGCAAAACATGAAGACACTGCACTGTGATTCCATAGCTTTTGGCAAAAAAACAGATGTCTCATCTCTCACCAACATCTCCACTCAATCATGAAGTTGCAGTGACAAGTACAGCTCCTTTTTCTCATTATTTCCTCTAACTTTCTGGCTGCTTGCTCAAAGAAAGAAGGATCCAGGTAGCTCTTAGTCCTACATGAAAAGTAAGCGTTCTTTCCAGTAACTAAGGCTTTGTTAATACTGCCTGTCAGTGAGATAATATCAACTTACAGAAAAAAACACAACAACCCACTAAAAAATTTAGGGGTAGCTGGAGAATGATCCCTCATTTGTTATTTTGGGCTGGTTAATGGGGTTAGGGATTGCGGAAGATGCTGGGCTGAGACACCTGGCAGCTGCCTCATCCAGAAGGTGAGAAATTAACTGGTTCAAGCTCCTTCATCTCATGCCACCACTGCATGCCTGCTCTGAGCTAGAGAAACTGTCTCTAAGAAAACAGAAAATGCATCAGTCCCCACCCTTTCTCACTAGGAAAAATAATTTTGGTTTTACCTCATGAAAAAACCAGACCTGACTGAACAGCCTCAGGGTGCAACTGTAAAGACAGAGAAGATCACAGCAGGATAGAATAGGACAGAAAGGGATGGAATGGAACGGAATGGAATGGACTAGACTAGACTAGACTGGACTAGACTAGACTAGACTAGACTAGAATATTGTGTTGGAAGTGACCTGCAGCAATCATCTAGTCCAACTCAGTCCATCTGACCACTTCAGGGCTGACACGTTTGAGGCATCAACCACCTCTCTAGGAAGCCTGTTCCAGAGTTGACCAATCTCTTGTAAAGAAATGCTTCCTAATGTCCGGTCTGAACCTCCCCTGGGGCAGCTTTAAACCATTCCCATGCATCCTGTCAATGGATACCAGGGAGATGGTATCAGCACCTCCCTCTCCACTTCCCCTCCTCAGGAAGCTTTAGACAGCAATGAGGTTGCTCCGCAGCCTGCTTTTCTCCAAGCTAGACAAACTGTCCTCAGCTACTCCTCATAGGACATTCCTTCCAGCACTTCCACCAGCTTTGTAGCCCTCCTCTGGATGCATTCAAGTACCTTCAAATCCTTCTTAAATTGTAGGGCCCAGAACTGCACACAGAACTCCGGGTGAGGCTGCACCAACACTGAATACAGCAGGATAATCACCTGTCCTGAGTGACTGGTGACGCTGTGTTTGATGCACCCCAGGATGGGATTTGCCCTCTGGGCTGCCAGGGCTCCCTGCCAACTGCAGGTTGCTCTCCAGCCACTCCTCTCTCACTTTATTCTTGTGCCTCCATCCTAGGTGCCTCCATCCTAGTCCGCTATCATCAGTAAACTTGCTAGTGGTGCATTCAGCAGCACATGATATATACACACACACACATATTGAACAGAACTGGCCCTACAACTGAACCCAAAGGAACACCACTGGTGACCAGCCATCAGCCAGCTGTAGCCCCATTCACTACAACCCTTTGACCTCTGGCTTTTGGCCAGTTCTTCACCCAGTCCATCACAAATCCACTCATTCCCTGGATGGACAACTTATCCAAAAACATGCTGAAGGACAGTACCAAAAGCCCCTCACTAAAATCCTGAAAAAGCTGTATCCACTGCCTTCCCTTCATCCACTAGGTAGGTGACCCTATCAGAGTAGGATACCAAATCAGTTAAATGGGAATTCCCTTTTGTGAACCCATACTGACTGTTAAATATGACTGCATCATTCTTTAAATGTCTTTCAATAGTACCCAGTTTAACCTTCTCCATAACTTTTCCAGAAACCAAGGTTAGATTAAGAGATCTGTAGTTCCCTGGGTCTTCCCTCATGCCTTTTTTTGTAGACTGGAATAACACTGGCAAGCTTCCAGTCAGCAGGACCTCCATAAACTTCCAAGACCTTTGATAGATGATTAAGAGGGGTCCTGCCATAACATGCCCTAGCTCCTTCAGAACTCTCAGATAAATCCCATTAGGCCCCTATGACATGTCTACATTCAGCTGATACAGCTGGTCCCTTACAAATTCAGTGTCCACAAATGTAAAATCACTGTTCCTACACTTGTGGTCCTCCAACTCAGGGGACTGGGCAGCCAAAGGTCTATTAGTATCACTAAAGATTGAGATAAAAAGTGCATAGAATGGATCTGCTTTTTCTTCATTCCTGTTAGTCAGATGACCACCTTCACCAAGTATCAGTTCAATGTTTTCCTTAGATCTCCTCTTACTGTTAACATTAAAAAAAAAAGCCCATCTTGTTGCCTGAAACAACACTGGTCCATTTCAACTCTAAGTGAGCTTTGGCCTTTCATGTCTTCTCCCTGTGTAAATGAACCCCAGCTCTGTACTCAGGTTCCTGAGAAGCCTAACCTTGCTTCCAGAGGTCATGGAGTTCCTTTTTCTTCCTGAGCTACACCAGGAGTTCCCTGTTCAGCCAAGCTGGTCTTCTGCTCTGATTGCTTGACATACAATACGATGGAATTGTCTGCTCCTGTGCTTCTGCACGGTGAATTTTAAAGATTGACCAGGACACTTGGACTCCCAAGCCCTTAAGAGCAGGTTCCCAGGGCACTCTGCTAAATAGCTCCCTGAATAGCATAAAATTTGCTCTCATGAAGTCCAAGGCAGCAACTCTGTCACCCTTTTTTGTCATTACAGTGAAAATTTAAAAATTAACCATTTCATGATCACTGTGGCCATGACAGTCATCTACTAACTCATTCTTCATGAGTCCTTCTCTATTCACAAATAGCAAGTCCAGGAGGGCATCTTTCCTAGTTGGCTCACTGCGTACCCATGACAAGAAGCTATCTCCTACAAACTTCAAGAATTTCCAAGCCTCATCACAGCAGTATGATATTCCCAGTTGATGTCTGGGAAGTTGAAATCTCCCATAAGGATAAGGGCTACTGATCCAGAGATTTCTCCTACTTGCCTATAGAATAATTCACTGGTGCTTACATCCTGGCTGGGCGATCAGTTGCAAACACCCTCTACAGCATCTCCTTTGTTTTCCATCCCCCTAATCTTCCCCCACAGGCTCTCCACCATATAATCATGAACTATAAGGGCTATGCAATCAACCTCTCCCTTATTTACAGTGCCATACCTCCCCCTCACTTGCCCTGCCTACTCTTCCTGAACAGCCTTCAGCCCTCCATGCCAGCACTCCAAACACGAAACTCATTCCACCAAGTCTCACTAGTACCAATGATATTGCAGCTTTGGGAGCTCACTAGTACCAATGTCTACTAGTACCACTAGTCTTGCTAGTACCAAGGATATTGCAGCTTTGGGAGCTGACCAATGCTTCCAGCTCGTCTTTTTTGTAAGACACATGCTAGCCTTTTGTTAACTGCTATGATCCTCCCTCTGCACACTGCAGCCAAGTCAGAGTTTGCAGAGATGTAGCTACTCCATCCTGGATTGGCCACTGCAGGCACTGTGGGCTAAGCCAGACTGATTCTGCAGAGGGATGATCTCAAGCCCAGAGAGCAGAGTAGCTGTCAAAGCATCATCTATTTTCCTGTTTGCACTGACAGTGGTGCCTTCTGTGTCTTCTCTATTACTGGAAGCATGATCTCAAGTGCTTTCTATTACACGTGTACTAACATATAGTCCAAGTGGTTAAGAAATCATCTAACTGCCATCAGTGTCACTTGATGACAACGTTGCTTTCCTCCCTTG